GGGCAGGGTAGGGGGAGACGAAATTAGCGGCAGGGCCAGCAGCAACAGCGCGAGCGAAGGGCGGCAGCCAGATTGATGAGTCTGCGACAGAAGGTCTGTAATGACGAACATCGGCCAGGGCCAGATTGTATCTGACTATTTCACAGAAGTTCTCTGATCTATTGGAAATACAGCAAGGTGGAGTCAGCTGTAAGTGGAGCTATGGCAATGCCAAGAACACGGAAGGCAGAGGAGCCACATCGTCCACAGGGAATTGGCGCAGAAGCACTGGCCAAATACGTCAGAGTTGATTGACAAAGCAAACGGAATAGAGTAAACATCTATAAAGAGTAAATATGAAGTGTGAGTACGATGGGGATCAATATACATTTGTTACTTCATACATTTCTTGTGATTTTTGTTGATATTATATTAATAATACACATCGCACCATATAATAAAATATTAAACAAAATTTGAGAATGAAATGGACATGTCTGTTATCGATTTACAAATTTTATAACTGTAATTAAAAATAAAAACAAGTTAATGTAATTAGATATTTCAAGAACACAAAAAAGTCCTTTGATTTAGTATAATCTTGTTTCAGAAATTTCTTGAAATAAAATGCATTGATAGAATATTCATTTTTTGCCATTTGTTGTTTTTTTAGCTTTAAGTTATTTTTTAAATTTACTATTCGTTGTGTTTTTTTACAAATAAAAATATTATAATTTTTCAAAAAATTATATAAGATTTTAATGTGTTGTGGAATGGAGTTCAATAGAGTATGAAAACATTGTTTTACGAGAACGCGGAAACTTACAATTCTGATGTAACCACGTGTTGAGTAAGGGGTTGAGTTAAAAAAGTAGTTTCCGCAACTTGGAGTCGCTTCTCAGCAGGACGCTGTGAACGAACGATGTCTGCCGCCTCTCACTTTACGGAGGACAAGAACAGAAGTTGTGGCAAACCGGCCATGGAAGATCAGCTACTACTATTTTCTTTCATCTGTTTAAACTCCCAACTGCAATAATGTGTAGGTCGTACACATAATGAAATCTTTTATTGTGGGAATGGAAATATATGACTCTTAAATATGAATCCTGACATGTGTAAGCAAATAAATATATCCCTGAAACAGGGTTTACGTTTATAAATATCTTTCGGAAAATATTAAATTTGTTTACGCATATTCATGTATACTTTGTGACAATGAGTAAAAATAACAGTTCCATTAAAGATACCGTTGAAAATATAAATGTCATACTAACAAGTTGGTTATTCAACATACTTGTTAGAGAAAAGTAACGTAGTAAATTAAGATGTAAGGTTTTCTTCTGTTGATATATTTGTATCAACAAATGAAAGCAGATTCTCGATGTTCCGAAAATATAAACGCACCGAAACGCTTACAGTTGTGTCGGTCGAAGCAACTGCTGCATTGTGAGATTTTGGGTTTACTTTCTCTTACGAATAAATTGTCGTAAATTTCCTAGATTTCTGTACTTTGACAGAAATACGCGTTTTTTTGAATCGTTAAGACAGGATGTTAAAATTTCAAATACAAGTACATCTTATTCACATGAACAGTACATTGAGCAACTTTCCTTACGTAGTACACATTTTGTATTTCTGAACGGTACAATAGATTATCACCACTTAAGTGAAAATGTAATAGCTGGTTCAGGCATTATCACAGCTTAGGGGTTGGAGAGCTTAAGCCAAGATGTAGATTTTCATCGTTTGTGGATGCAGGCCAATGAGATAATTCAACGTCGTTATCTCTCTTCCAAAACAAGGGGTATCTCAGGGACAGTCCAGTTGATATAGTAAGGTGAGGTAGTGAGAATATAGGGTGTAAGACACCCCAGCAACATTGGAGCGTACATTGCTGCCACACGAGATTCAAACGCACCTTTGAAGACACGGTATTAAATCCATTCTCTGCAGTTTGAACTGCTTCCGTGTCAGACACTCCTTACACTCCCTTTGATACTTCCCCTTGCTCCTAGACTGCAGCGTATTATAACGTGAGTGGTTTAATGAATGGCATTAGATAGTGTTCTCGGACAAATTGCGTTTCTGACTAGCCTTAAATGATGGTAGCACCTTCCTAGACGCCAAACAGATCTCGAGTGGAGTGCATTCCCTCACGATATACCGCTGTCAGTCTTCTGTTCCAGCACGCCATCGAGCATTGCTTTTTTTACGTGCAAGTTACCGTGGGGAAGTCTTCATTAGTCAACAACATTATTGAGCAAGGCTATTCCGAGACAAAAGGCAGAATA